GTCAAAGGCCTTACAGAGGTCCAGATAGACGACATCTGTAGCCCTTCCCATGTCCGCTGATGTAGTCACTCCATCACAGAAGGCCACTAGGTTGGTCAGGCAGGACTTGCCCTTGGTGAAGCCATGCTGGCTATCTCGAATCACCTCCCTGTCCTCCATGTGCCTTAGCATAGCACGTGCCTTAGCGTGATCTTCCTAGGCACAGAGGTGAGTGCTGTTCTGACACTGCTGGACACGACTACGTGCATACTCCCTCACAGAACATGTAGATGCTTATTAACTGGTAAAAACCTCTCCTTCGATGCTTGTAAGGTGACAGCAACTCCCATACACCTACACCTATACACCCTTACAGCCTATGTAGAGCATCACTGAAATCTGCAGTTTCCTTCGACACAATTTACCTTGATATATTGACGTATCTGGAAAGTCTTCCCTTTGAAGCCACACTGCTGTGTAATTAAACTTATTTTGATGTTTCATCATTAGTTTGAAATTACCACATGACTGGAACAGCAAGAGACTTGAACAGAATTGGTTAATTCAAGAAAATGCAGCCAAACTTAAGGACTATCAAGTTAGCTTGAATTAAGTGCTAAATTAAGCGTATTTTCTTTGTTACTACTGTATAGACAGTAGCACTGAGAAGGCGTAGTCACGTCCCAGATCCCCGCGGTATGGAGGCGTATGAATAAAGAGCATCATCCTGGCCCCAGGGGCTACAGAGACAACAGGAAGAAGAACAAGAGAGCTGGGTTGGGCTGGAGACCAGAGGAAGGATGAAATCGTCTGCATCTCAGGCCGTAGTGCCAGCATGCCACCCGCCTTGACAGACACCAAAGATCACGCAACCCTCTTTTTGTTAGCTTTAGAAATCCTATGAAACATATTGTAATTTACATGTCTCGCTTTAGAAACCTAGACTAGAAAAGCAAGAGCTTGTAATCAAGTTCTGTGTTTTAATTAACCTTGGCAGAAGCGATGGAAACATTTCCTGAGGTTTGGTTTGGTTAAAATAAGAGCTATCAGCCAGTCCTGGCCACACCAGGAGTGCGGTGCCAGCCCCCTGCAGCACGCTGCTGAGCCTGCGCTGCTCGGCGTGATTTTCGACTGAAAGTTGGAAGACAGCTATCATTAACTAACAGCTTAGTGGAAGAGTAGTCCTGTTGCAAGCAGATTATATGCATGTGTAGAGGTTGATTACAGCACAGTCGGCTGTTGAAGGACTGATCTGATAACGGGTAAAAATACACCGTACACTTGAAGTCGGGAGCTCTGTCTCTCTGGAGCCGACAGAAACCCAGCGCTGCGTGCTCGTGGAACCGGGCCTCGAGGCCAGATCGGTATCTGCCGCTGGGGTAATTCCTGCCTCATGCTGCAGCAAGTTTATTCCACCTACTTGCTTTGCTTTTTCTCAGGTCAGATGTTAAGAACTAGTCAATACACGTCACTGCAGGCAAGTCACAGGCAGGATGCTGTCATGAACTAGGAATATATGGCTTATGTATTGAATTAGTATTTTTTGCACAGTATTTCAGAAGTAGAAGGTTAATACTGAATTACAACGTATTCTGCTTCACGTCCTGAATGATCCGGCATGCCTAGTTTACGGTTTCTTAGTGAATACGGAGAGAAACTCTAATTACTTGAGAGTAGTTTTCCCCAGTTTTGTATTCAGTTGTACTTTTTCTGCCCTAAAACTACATCTCAACTTTCACTTTTGCAAAGCTCTTTCCTGCTTCGCTTTTATGAAGGGCAGATGAAAAGCATGGATCTTAATTAGTATTTTGTAGGTTGAAAAACATGTTTGGAAGCAGAATGGATGGCAAAGATTGCTCTGCAGTATTCACTTTCCCAGGCTGATGACAGCTGTGCTGTTATGTCAACTTTTATATAAAATACAGCAAATAATAGATTTACACATCCCTGTGCGTTTACCAGTTATTCAGGTTTCAGCCCCTATTTTACATTCCTAATGGCTGAGGCAGGCATTTGGTATATATCTTCCTGTGTAGAAATGACAAGTCTTGAAACCATCTGGAGTCGGTTGCTAATGCTAAATGCATGCGCTTCTGGGCTGAATGCTTTGAGATAAAGAGTAATTTTTACCTTTTGGCCTCTTGCAGTTTCCAACTCTGCTAAATGGTCACATACCAGTGCCACTCCCCAGCCTGGACGGAGCCTCTTCTCCAGTACTGCTTTCTCCAAACGCTCAGAAATCCTGATGACACCTCATCACGCCAAGGACTTACTGGTGGATTTAACACTTCATTCCTATGGGCTAGTTTTTCCTGTGTCATGAGAAGGACATTGTGAAACCCTCTATTACTTTGGTTTGCACTTTTCATTACATGGATAATCTACTTTTATTATGTTAGCATTTTTAAACAGTGTTTATATATAAAAGTATATATAAATCTGTTTTGCATTAAATGAATTATAATTTTTTTATATCATAGCTCTCAAGTGTTGAACACTTCTGTTGTTGATGACGTACTTTTCTTATTGGATTGCAACAATGTATCTAAGAAGGATGTGAAGCTTCTTTTTAATCCCCTTTTCTGCATATTATGCATTGTGCTTGTGTAAACTATAACCGGCTGTGCCTTCTTTTGCATAATGTCATGTAAATGATTTATATATTTTCTAGTATTAAGATAAAAAGCTGAAAGACAAAACTAGTATTGAACAGCCCTATGGTAGTATTTCAGTATTTTCTCCACGGATAGGCCATATGATGCAGTGTATTCATGTAACTTTGTATTAAGTGCTTTCAAATTGTATAAAAATAGCCTTATAATTTTTCTTTGCTGAAGTGAAAAACGTAATCAACGTTACAGTCAGGAGATGCATTTAGGAGTAACAAAGCCACATTTACACGTTTGTGCCCAAGTTCTTCTGTGGAGTTGCAGCAGGGAGGAACTGGGCTGTGTATATTCGTGCCACGTTGCCAGCATTTGAGAATACTTCTGTAGAAAAGGAGACGTTGCTCAGAGTTTATTCGGCCTACACTTCTTACAAACTGTCAACATTACAGCCGGAAAGACTGCAGGGATCTCTGGCCTCCCAGGGAACGAGGATCGTTCCCGATAAGAGAATTTCCAGGTGCCTTCTTCAGTCGTGCCAAGTGCCTTCTACTATTTCCCTGGAAAGATTATTCTGGCTACTAAAGCTCAGAAGGTTGCGTTTCCCCCTTCCCCCAAAGCTGGAAAAGTTACAGGACTGTAAATTAATGCCTGGTGCTTGTAAAGAGGCATACTGTGCATGTGGGATGTTTATGGATAAACATCTGAATTCTGGATTAAAAAACAGCACTGTGTTACTATACACTTGCAACTTGAACTTACCGGGTATGTCCTCCACCTTGAGGTGATGGCTTAGTCATCTAAATGTCAGGTTAGGATTAGGCTAGACTCCCTGGCACCACAGGTTCTAATCTTGGCAGGGCTGATGCAAATCTTCAGTTTTCTGAGGTGGCTAAATTGGGTTGAATGCAGCTTCACCATGTAGGTTTTTCAGATGAGACCTTCGAAAACCAAACCAAAATCAGAATCCTGTTTGCTACAGGTCATTATGGCTTCTACGTCGCTTTCTGGCCAAGCGGCTGGTCAAAAGTCTGTTCTTTTTGAAATTTATGCAGTGAGTTGTCTGCTGATTCTCTGTTTGGATGCATTTCAGTGATGATGTGTGTAGTTAATTGTAAAGTGCTTTTGGATCCTTCGACCTGAAAGGTGCTAAATAAACATTTTATTAATGCAGTTCTGATGTTGAAAAGCCATGTTTGGGGCAGAGGTAGTCTGACAAAAGACAGCAGGAATTTTCCTCAGGCTCCTGGGTTGCACAACCAAAAATGACTCCTCAGTTTCACTCGCAGTGATTAACGGGATAAAAACCTGCCATATCTGTACGAAGTACCAGTGCTGATAAACTGAGCGATTAGGTGCAAGACGTAAGGAAAAAGAACGAAACGCATGGGAAGTCAGTCACTTGAATCGGCGTTTTGAGAGCTCCAAGAGGTACCACCCCGCGGAGTCAAAACCAGAAGGTGAACCCATGCAAAATCTATGAGCGAAAGGAAATTTTATACTGAGTAAAATCAGAATAGGTTGGAAGAAGAGGCAGCATGTAGCTGACGGGATTGACTAATCTAGTGGAGATTAAATCACAAGGGCTCGCAGGTCAAACGTTTCGCTTTCAGTGGATTCCTCCCAGGTACACGGAATATTTTTCAGTAACTACGTTAGAGAGGCAATTATTCACCCTCTAGAGCCAACCCTTGTCTCATTTTTAAGTAAGTATGACTGCCTACTTCGGCGAAGTCTCGCCTTCCACACGCCGGTATAGCTAATGGGAGAACAAGGCATAGAGAGGGAGTGTTTCTCACTACGAGTTTAAAAAGTAAAGATACTCACGAAAATTTGGTCTTTGACTTAGTAAGAAGTAATGAATACCACACTGCAAAACCCCCAGATGAACACGAGAGGAGGGAGCGTGTGACAGAGGAGAGAGTCTTAAAAGAAAAAGCCTCCAGATTCTCATGACTTTGTTTCTTCCAAGGTTTTACTATTAATAAGGCAGGTTTTTTTCTTTTCAAAAGGCTCAAGACACCTCGACACCCCCCCACACCCCTCCCCTCCCACCCTCCTGCTCCTTGAGTGACTTTGTTTTTCTTTTAAAGATAGCAGAAAATAGCAATTCTGGGACAAAAATCTATTGCAACACATTACTGTAAAGGATCTGGGAGAATCCCATAAAACTTAAGGGAAGACACCCAGAAACAAGAAAGCAGCGCTGTCTTCTCACCTTTGAGAGAATAAAAAACAGCAACAGAACACATCTTCTTTTGTTATTTAACTTTTCAGTTAAAAAAAAAAAAAAGTTTTCAAAATGAAATCTGCCTTCCAAATTGGTCAATTACGTGGAGCAAAAATTCTTCCTACTGGGAAGAATTTATAAAGTCCAGCCTCTCAAGTCTAACGCTTACTTAAAACACTAGATTATTATGCCTTCTGCTTCGAAGAAAATATTCTATTGGAAATTTTCTTTTGAATTTTATTAACAGATATCTTTTTAACTGTAGAGAAAAATCAAATAAATGTTTTTAAAATAAATACTGTGAAAGCGTCAATATTTCTGTGGCATGGAGAGCTCCAAGCCAACAATCCTGGGGAACAAAAGGGGGGTTATTCTCTTCAGTATCCTTGGTAGTAATTGCAATTTGATCACACTCGAGGGATTTTTTGGATAGATTTACACTTTATTCATGCTTCAGCAATGCACAAAAAGTTTCCAGTATTATATAGGCTGGGTGCACGATTAGGCTATTTTGGGCTTACCTTTACATTGGTTTTTTTTCAAAAAAGCAAGTGCCCACCAGTAGGGCCACAGCTGCTGGGTAGCTTTGCCAAGAGACCGCACACATCGTCTGCCCTGTCACAGGTGAGTGGCTTCAGTTCTAAAGAAAACTTTCAAGGTGGGGAAAACAGCGATGGGTGGGAACAAACTACGGAAAAAGGAAGGTTTGACACCCGTCCATGACGTCAACAAGGAATAACTTGTTTTGTCTGAATAAAACTAGTCTCACCAGACAGGCAGCGCTTGCCAATCTGGAAATACCTACCAAAGAAGTAATGAACTGTCAACAAGATGACTGTTTAAAGGGGAGGTGGTCCTTTAAAACAGACTACAGCATTTTATTTTAACAGAACAAGTCTCTACGCCAAGAGGCTGTGTGACCTGGTGCCTACAGGAAGCATCTTCAGAAGCCCTCATGACCACCAAATGAATTTGGAACCGGCACAGTAACTACAGGTAGTCTCTTTTACGGAAGGGCATCAGTGTTCCCTTCTGATCTTGAGGCTGTCTCTATATCCTATAGGATAAACAAACACGGGTCACTCAGATTTAAGCATACCTCTACGAAGTCGTCAGAAAACTACAACTTTTGAAACCCCTTTTAGCCCCAAACTGTAACTGCTCTTACCAATTAATACGCGAGTGCTCTGCCTACACAGATGGAGTACAAACCTATTTCTTGAGGGCAGAGATCGACCGCATTAGTGAGGAGGAGTATAAATTTATTTAAATGAAAAAAGGAGAATGAACCTCAGGCAAGGACTCTGGAGCGATCAGCATCATGGCCTGCCTGGAGGGGGGGGCGGTATTTGTAGGAAAGCACCCTGGAGGAGAGGACTCCAGGACACGCTGGGTTTTTTTTCTTGAAAGATTCCCACCAGTTCGTGTTCACTCTGCAAGAAGTGCGAACGGATAAACCTAACCTTAATTACCTCAGGCAAGGACTCTGGAGCGATCAGCATCATGGCCTGCCTGGAGGGGGGGGCGGTATTTGTAGGAAAGCACCCTGGAGGAGAGGACTCCAGGACACGCTGGGTTTTTTTTCTTGAAAGATTCCCACCAGTTCGTGTTCACTCTGCAAGAAGTGCGAACGGATAAACCTAACCTTAATTAAGGGTGTGCAAGAGGAGGAGCAGGCAGCGCTGACGCTGCCGTGCGGGGCCTGCAGGGAGGTGCTCCGCAAGAGCGTGTTGGAGAGGGGAGAGGGAAGAGCATTCTCCCCGGTTTGCAATCCGCTGCGACGGCATTTCCATCAGCAAGAAGATCCCACTGCAGCAAATGAAGGAACTTCATAGCTCTCTGGGGAAAAATGTGTTCCAAGGTATGGCATCTGAGCTGAACAAGACTTGTATTTCATTAGGAGGACCATAAAAGCAATCTGCTTGGGCAGGGCCCGTTTCTTAAGTGATTTTGGAGGATGCAGCCAGGACAATAAATTAGGCAGTTATTTACATCAGTAAGTATGTGCATATGTATGCATTCACAGCTTAAGTTGGCTCAAAAATTACAGAACTTAAATGAGTTCAGGGATTTTAGAAAACGTGAAAATAATGGAAAATTGCAATGTACACGTTTTTCCACTGACATCAATCTTTTTCTTTCAGTTAGCGAGAGAGGCGCAGTACAGCCCAGTGAAAATCACACACAAAAGATTAAAAAAAAAAAAAAATCTAGAATAGCTAACCTCTAATCCCAGTTCTGACAACACGAATTTCCACTGTGGCCTGGAACACGGGTTTGATTTCTCTGCAGCTAAACCCCACAGATGAAAAGGCTGTATGGTGTGAGTTACAAAGCCCACGTTATCTACTTGGCTTTTATACTTTTCAGAATCATCCTACCTGTACAGCCAGAGCTTACTTTACAACGTACCAATTAGCTAAACACTTGCACAGTCCTTCCTTTACGTTTTATAATCGATACTTGTTACCAATCTCTTAAATCGGTCTGACATGGATGTCGGTGAGATACCTGTGTGTTGCTGACCCACGTACAGGGCAAAGAGTAGCACTAAATCTCTAAGAGCCCAGTCTCTGAAGCCGCGGGGGGGCGCGGGCAGGCAATCTGTAGAAAGTAAGCATTCAAGTTCCTCCCCAACTTTAAGAATTTTCATAGAAATGTTGCATTTGTTTCAAAGCCAAACTTTGCTAAGGGAAAAAAGGTATCGAAGTGTGCTAACGAGGTGCACAAATTATTTCAGCTCCACCCCTTAGTGACCAGACAAAATGACCACACGTGGTCACAGACAAGACGAGTTCTAGTTTTTCTTCAGTGTCACTATAGGCTACAGCTGTGCATTTCCATACCCTAATTTGCTTTGGATTTCTTTCAAATCTGACCTTAATTCTGGGTATTTCCTGGGTTTACAATAATTAGCTTGGGGATATTTACAACATACCTTTCATATACTTTGTCCTCAATAACTGAATGTATTCTTACCCTTCATTCCCTCTTAACGTTGCAAAACAGAAACAATGTACCTTTATTACATTGAACAACTCACGCGCAAACAACAAGCAAGCAGCCCAAAGAACGCTACCTTGCAGTTTTTCAAATGATTTGCAAATACAAAGTATGTTGATTCTTTAATAATTGTTTATTTTAACTTTTATTGCCCAATTCAGGGATACACTCTGGCTACTTAATGCTGTGGCAAAGCAGCACAAAAATAACACAGCTGTGTTGAGATGCACGTCCCACTAGAGCGTTGCTGAGCAGCTGGTTTGCCCCTTCAACCTCCCACTCCGTCCTGCCCTGCAAATTCCCGTCCTCCGCCCACCCGCTCTCCCCTGCAACCTCCACCTGCATGTGCACACAACCTCATCACCGCCCGCCTCTTTCCTGTCCTCAAGCCCACCTTATTCCTACACGCACCTATACACACACCTTGGCGTTCCTACCCCGGGGTAGATGGGATACACCGGGTATCTCCTAGAAATAATTACTTAATCAGCAACAACTTGCAGGCCATTTCTCATTAACTGATCACTCATCTGCAGCAAAGGTCATCACACCAAACCTTGAAAGTCATCCACTTTTAGCGACTATCTGCTTGGTTTTCGTCACGGTTGAGGTCTTCTCCCAGAAAGGCCAACAGTCCCTACAGTTCTCGGGGACAGCGAAACCAAGTCCGCAGTGCCTGATGCTGCCGGACAGGAGGCAGAACGCTGGACTGCACGAAAAGGATGGCAGAGAAATGCCCAGCGACTTCAGACTCGCTGACTACTGCCCCAAACGGGCAGCTGCCACAGAATTGTCTCTGCTGATGCAGGAATTTCAATTACAGACAATTAAAAAAAGAAAGAAACTGGCTTGACCGCAGATGCCAAGTTTCTTAAGAAATACATTCTTTAAAGCTACCTCCTGATGAAGAAAACCAATTCGCTTGTAGGTCCTTAGAAAA